CTGCAGAACCACGCGCAGGTTGACTTGTGCGATCCACTGACGGTTTGTTCCGCCACTCTTGTTCGCTGCGATGGCCCTACTGACAGCCCTAGACCATGGCGAACACAACGTGCACGATCGGCGTGGACCTCGGCACCACATACTCCTGCGTTTTTGCGAACGGAAAGACGATTCCGATAGAATATGGCGATGTACAACGATCTGCTGTGCGAGTATCGCGGACCAACTGGACGTTAGTGTCAGCTTCTGACATTGCCGACGCCAAGAGGCCGCACTTGACCCTCTGGAAGAGAATCCTCGGACGCGGCAGCGAGGACGGTCGGCTGGCACGAGACGTCGAGTCTATCCCCGCCGCAGAATTGAGCGAACACGGCGCACGATATAAGGTTCATGACCAGTACGTCGAGGCGGAAGAGGTTGCAGCGTTCATACTCGGTCGAATCAAGGCTGCAGTATGCAACATGTATCGCGGCCAGCCGCTGGAACGAGTGGTTATTGCTGTACCTGCGCATTTCACGCAACGCCAACGGCAGGCGACATTGGATTCCGCTGAAGTCGGTGGATTCGACCCGGCCATCGTCCAGCTCGTCGAAGAACCAATTGCCGGTGCGGTCGACTTTGTCGAACTCGACATGCAAGAACACCAGAAGATTCGCAGACTTGTGGTTCTCGACATTGGTGGTGGTACCACTGATGCCAGCCTGCTGTCCTTTGAGGCCTTGGGCGAGAAACACGCATACGGCGTCCTAGCGACGTCGGGAGACAACCAGTTGGGCGGCAGTGATTTCGACAAGGCGCTAGCGGACCTGGTGCTTTCCAAAGCGGGAGTCGACCCGGAGAAGGTCGATCTCCGGAGATTGATGCTCGAATGTGAGAGCAAGAAACGAGCCTTGTCTAATGCGAATCGCATTGTGGTCGAGCTCCCATCTCTGCAGGACACTGACGATCTTGATCCCGTGGAGATAACTCGGTCCATGTTCGAAGAGTCGTCAAAGCCACTTCATGACTCCATACGAGGTATACTGGAGGATTTGGTTGATCAACGCCAAGATGCGAAGAATCCTGACGTCATTCTTCTCATCGGAGGGGCCTGCGCAATGCCTTCAGTACGAGATATATGCAAGAGTATTTTTGGAGACGCCTCCATCAGGACCAACGAACCCGAGAGAAGCATTGCCAGAGGTGCCGGTCGCATTGCCTCCGATCCGAATATTCAGATCAACCCCGTCCTTCCGAGATCTGTCGGCGTTGAAGTGTACAATACGGATGGAAGACTTGTCATGGAGCGCATAGTCCAACGCAACTCCCCCCTTCCGATCCGCTGTGCACATTCGCTGAGCACTTCTGAAGAGAACCAAGCTGGTGTCAAGTTCAAGCTCATGGAAGGAGAGATGGATGACGGCCGTTTAAATATCGAGGTCGGATGTTTCGAGATAACTGGTGTACGTGCTTGTCCACGAGGGACGCCGATCGAGGTTCAGATGGAGATCATGGCCCCTGGAAGCATCACCATGACGGCCAAGATACAACGGAAGAAGGGAAAGCTAACTGTTAAGCCAACACCGCGGGTTGAGCGCCATCATCTCGACGAGTGGATGAGACGTACGCGACAGCGGCTCGGGCTGGCACCTGAGGAAGCAGCAACCGACGGACAGGAAAACGGCCACGCAAACACGCTTGCCACAGAATCTGCGCAGACATCAGCATCTGCCACAGACAGGCTGGCCGAAGATGCCCTGACGCCATCACAACATCATAGCGCTGACAAGTCGCAAGGCGACGAAGCTGGCAGAGTGGTACAGAACCCAACGCAAGATGGGGCGGCCGTTGAGGAGGCTACAAGCGAGACTCGCGCTGCTATAGCGGACACTGAGGTGGTCGGTGGCAAAGGATCAGAAAGTGGAGATCCGGAGAGTGATCATACAACGAAAGATGGTGACAACACCCGAGACAACAAAGGCCATGAGAATGTTGAACCAGTCGACAGAGGTGAAGTTGCTGAAATTGGCGAGGCAGCTCTGGAAGGCGAGGCAGTAAGACAAGAGGCTGCGAGCGACGAAGGGCCTGGAGTAGGCAAAGGGGTCACGACTCAGGATGGGGTACAAGATGGCGAGCTGGCTGAAGAGGCCGAGCCTGCAGCCGAGGAAGATTCCCAGGCTGTTCAGAGTGCGGCAAGTGGTGGTCCTGGGGGTGCGACTCGCCGAAAAGCTGCAGGGGACGAGCGAGCCGAAAGTGGCGAGTCGACGGGTGGTCAATTAGGTCCAAGTGGAACCAAACGTGGCAAAAGGCCGTTGGCAAGGAGCCCAGGGGATGAGCGGAAACACAAGAAGTTTAAGCTCCCGCTTGGAAGGCCCGCGGCTGGTAAGAAGCGGCGATAGCTACAGACCATAGGGACACTGTTCCGTACTCTTGTCATGTAATCTGTGACCTGGACACCTATCAAGCAAAGGCACATCGCACTGAGGTGCTTTATCCAACCTGACAGATGCATTTAGGAACGTGTGAATGGAAGGAGGCCATTCCTTACACGTAACAGTGCGACTGCACACGCGATCCTCGCCATATCCTTGTAATATTCACCTCTGATAAAAATTGTGACGAAACCTTGCATTTCTGAATCCTGTGCTGCATGTAACCGAATTTGCCGGAGTGGAATGGAAGGTCCTACGCACAGAGGACTGTGCGCCAAGTCATGTCATCAGCCGAAGTTTGCAACCCGGCAACTATTACTATGAACCTCGCCAATTCGCGAAATTGGCGCTGAAAATTTGTAAGGCGTGCCTCGACACTTCGCAGCTCCGTGACACCACGAGCTACTAAATTTTCGGTATACAATTTATCTTTTCATGCAACTTTGACCGAAGAGAGCTTTGGCCGAAGTGAACTTTGATTGAAGGGAACTTTGACCAGACTTAACTTTGATTGAAGGGAACTTTGACCAGACTGAACTTTGACTAAATAGAACTTTGATCAAAGGCAACTTTGATCCAAGGGAACTTTGATCCGAGGTAGCAGAGCTGCGGGCGACACTAGGCATCTTCCAATGCACCTCATGGCACAACGATACCTGCTGGCAACCTCCAAGGAAGCATGCCTATGGCAATCTCTCTCTAATATACTGCTGTAACTGGCGGACTATGGTGAATTTCGAATTGCAATATGATTGTGCTCTGCATCCGGAAACTAGGACCAGGTGTGCGCCAATTTGCCGCAAAGGCCACCCCTATGCGCACGAGTCATTCGTAGATCTTGCCGCCTTATACTTGGTCTAAGTAGTTGTCTTGCATGGTCTCGGCGCCTGTGTAGCAAGAATTTAAGGTTGCCCAGAACTGTGTATATGCCTGGATCGTTATTCCCCATGGTTTTGCTCCAGAGATCCAGGGTTTTTCGATACAGGCTCTCCGCCTCATCGTGCTTTCCACGGGCTTCAAACACGACTGCAAGGTTATTCATGCTCTGCAGTGTTTCTGGGTCTTCCTCACCAAATGCGACAGTCCTTCGTCGCAACGTCTCCACGTGCATTTCCTCGGCGTCGTCGAGCTTCCCTCGGGCATTGAGCAAGCAACCGAGATTATTCCTCACAGTTAATGTCCGGCGATCATTTTTCCCAGCCATTCTTTCCACCATCTCGAGTGCATTCCGATAGATGACTTCAGCGTCGGCATATTGTCCTTTGTTGTCAAGCACGCAGCTAAGATTGTTCAGACTGATCAACGTCGGCCCAGTCATGCCGAAAATTTTCTGACGTCGGCTCAGGGTGGTTCGGTGCATGATCTCAGCCCTATTCAGGTGGTCCAGGTTATCCAGAGTGCAGGCATAGTTGTTCATGACATCCAGCGTCTCAGGGTCTTCCTTGCCCATAAGCTTCTCCATGCCTGGAAGGACGGCCTCATACACCTGCGCTGCCTCCTGCTGCTTCCCGCTGCTATCCAACAAATATGCAAGGCTGTGCAAAATGGTAAGCGTTAGATGGGCATCTGCGCCGACAATCCTGGTTGCCAATTCGGCAGCCTCTCGGTAAACTTGTTCGGCCGCAGGCCATAGCTTTTTGCGGTCCAATGCAACCGCATATTTGTATAACTCGCTCACCGCCTCCGGTTGTTGTCTTCTTATCGCATCGTCTCTGCGTGACACAAAGTCATGCATCCAACTCTCCGCATGGGACTGAGACTTGGAGTCACTCATGGGTGGCGTACGCGGAAGCGCTCCCTGAATCTGAGCGGTGTAGTACCGTGAGCGATAGGGAGTGGCCCTGTATCACAAGAATGATGTATTTTATAGTGTAATGCACAGTACCTGTGTGAATGCTATGTCACAGGATGGAGCTAAAATCACAATGCAGAAAAGTGCCGTCGGACGGGCTTGGAGCGAAGACGGTACTACTGAAGCCGCCTGCACGACTTCTGGGCTCGCCATGTGTGGATAGGCCTGCTATACACGAAGTCAGAATTTGGCTTTCAGCATAGTACGTGTTCAGTCAAAGGTGGCGCTGCAGTACTGCGATATTTAAAAGGGTGCCAGCCAATCTAAACATTGTCGGCGGAGTCCCTTGGACAACTCAAAATGGGCAGATTTGGGAAAAACGAAGTTGTAGCCGTGTTCCATGTCATTCTGGCAGTTGTCATCCTTGTTATATCGTCCAAGATGCTTGCCAAATCTCAAACCAGGGAAGGAATATTCAAGCTTTCGGTATGATCGCCGCCACACCCCTAACTTGTCAGCGACTTACAGAGCATGTCAAAAGCTCGACACGAAACAGATTCCACGGGATATACCTGATCCCATAAAAAGCGTCGGAGCACAAGTGACGAAGGCCGGCGCCACGCTGGCGGCAGAAGCGAGCGGTGTCAAATCTGCTGGAGCAGACCTGGCAAGTTCTGCTGTCGCCGCCGGTGCTACCTTGATCAGCAAACTAGGCCCGAAAGGCGCCGCAGCTGGTACGAAAGAGGCGTGCGGGAACTTCAGCGGTACCTGGGAGTGCATATCCTTTCCAATGATGATGGCGGTCATCCCATTCACCATGGTTTTTGCCACACTGTCCGCTGGGTTTTGCATTCTGTCTGTAAAGGTGGTCGCAGTTCCCTTCGTTGTTCCTCTGTTCAGTGTTGTGTCCTGGATGGCATCTGCGGTTTGTATGTCTATTGCCTTGGCTATTTTTATTGTTGCATGGAGACTGCAAGACCGACTCCAAGAACATCTGCCCACGACCTTTAGCACTGGTTTCGCGCTGAAAGGAGCCATCACAAACTTCGTAGCCGCCACTTGTCAATTTCTACTCTCTTGCGTCGGTCCTTGAAGCAATGGCCTAGATAGTTTACAAAGTAATATGCCGAGATCAAAACTGCCTTGTCCTCGCTTGAGCATTCGTGGAGCCAAAAAGTGTGTCAAGGCAAAGGTTGCTGTTCACTGCTGTCGATAGCCGACGATGTGCCATTCGACACGACCCGCCGCAATTCCACCACAGCCACGCAGGCTTATCGTAGATCTTCTTTCCATCCGTTCTCTCGCAACCGGGGATCAAAAGACTGCGTTCAGACAAAACCCAATAAGACGGATGCGGTTCTATTGCACAGTCATCAAACACCTGGGGAGTGAATAATGGATAATTGCTGCCCGTTGCCGCAAGAACCTGGGATCCTGATCACGATCTGTGTGGACTGTAAATACTGATGACCTAGGTTACTGCTTTCCTGGGTGACACTTCCACTAATACTCCAGAAATGGTTATGCTTCGCTCCCGAAGGCTTGGTATAGACATCCTGGGTGCAGTTGCAACCACCAGTGTGTCCAATCCTGGGTGTCTCGCTTTCCCGACTACATACGAGGTCCTGGGCTCCAGCCCACAACACCTAGGCTTCGTCAAAGCATGTTGACACTGGAGCCAGTCATTGACCCAGGTCCATGACACCTAGGTTCCGACAGAGCATGAATTGACACATGTGCCCAGGATCTTTGACCCAGGTCCACCACACCTAGGTTTCGGCAGAGCATGAATTGACACATATGCCCAGGATCTTTGACCCAGGTCCACCACACCTAGGTTTCGGAGCCCAGGACAATGCATATGCCCAGGACCTTTGACCCAGGTTCACCACACCTAGGTTTCGGCAGAGCATGAAGTTGACACTGAAGCCCAGGAATGCATGTGCCCAGGATTCTTGACCCAGGTTCACCACACCTAGGTTTCGGCAGAGCATGAAGTTGACACTGGAGCCCAAGACAATGCATTTGCCCAGGACCGTTGAACCCAGGTCCACCACACTGGAGCGCAGGACCATTGCGGAAATCCAGGATCGGGGTCCCCAGGGTCTGGCAAAGCGTAGAGCTACGAGTTGAGCCCAGGACCATCGCGGGCACCCAGGATCATGGACACTGGGCTCCAGTAACTTCACGCTATGCCGGATTAAGTGCCGCAAGTCCTGGGCTCGACCGACAGCTTGTGGGCGTCATGATCCTGGGTATTAGTTGGTGTTCTGAAATCAGTGACAGCTTGGCTGCTTTTTGCCCAGGTACACGATTCTGGGCCCGTTGCTTTGTCGGTGAGAGCCCCCGCCGGCACCCAGGACCTAAAAGCACTACATATTTATGCTGACAAGGCTGAGTTTTAGACGGCCAAAGCCCAGGATCAGCATTAGCCAGCGACTAGAAAAGAGGCCGGACTCCATATTGTACTGTGTACTGTACTGTACTGTACAGTACTGTAACGCAAGGCGAGACAAGTCTACACAATGCCCCGCTGTAGCATCACTTTACATCTGTGTAACGTGAATATATGTCCTGGTTTTGAGATGGTTCCTCCAGTAGGCTCCTGGATATTTTGCATTAATCTGTAAATACTTCCCCACTACATTGGCGGCGTTCAACAACCGTAGATGCCATGGCACCGTATCCTGTCCATTTCGTGCATCGGCAGCAATAGAAGAGGTTATGGCCTATTTGTACATACCCAGGGCAGGATATATCCTCCGTTGACATCAGCTTAGCCCAAGCGCCGCATCGTAAACACCTAATCCACCCCAAGATCGCCACGCCGTTCATTTGGTTTACCGAGGAGAGTCTGTCGCAATGAACTGATCATCTGAGGATCTATGCCGGGTTGATCTTGCCAGAGGTGCATTTAGATGGTGCGGTAAGGTGGAAGCTGTGTGCAGAAAATGTCAGCTTGCAAAGATACGGTACGGTACGGTGTCATCTGCCGCCACGGATCGTCGGATAACTCCACATCCAACAGGAAAGGCCAAAAGTTGACTATTAGCTGAAGTCCACCCTGGCCAGGCGACGCATCGATGCAGCCTGACAACGATGGTGGCATCGATGGCTTAAGAAAACACTGTAAAACCCACTACATGACGAGTTCGCGTTTGGCATTTTGCATACCGACGATACTATCTGCATTCGGCATTCTGTGCAGTCCTCAAAGTATACGGCGGTGCATATTTACTCAATACCAGCTTCAACCTCTTGCATCTGTGCCATGGAGCGAAAGAAGCCCTGGAAGAATGGCCTCTTGGAATGTGCTTCTTGCGGCATCTGCCTTTTGGGATGCTGTGGTCCCTGCGTCCGTATGCTGTGCTATGATCTCATCGATCGTGTTGTTGCTAATAATGGCCTTGTTCTAGTGCATGGGAAGACAATAGGTCTTATGGAAGCTTCCAGCACACGCACAGGTTTTGCTTGGTGCGAGTGTATGATGTTCCTTGGGGCGCAATGCCTCGGTGCAGCATGGCTGTATGTCAGTTCTTCAGACCTGATACGGACGACTCGCTAAGTTTCAAGGTACAACACGCTCAAGCGCCGTACGATCCGGAAGGAATATCGTATCGAAGGTGGCGCGTGCGGTGACTGCTGTGCGAGCTTCTGGTGTCCATGCTGCGCACTCATTCAGCAGCACCGAGAAGTCTTGAGCCACAATATCGTTATGGAGGAGTACCATGCACCAACTCCAATGGGCATGGAGACTCAGGCAGCAAAGCGGTAGCATGGTCGTACTGGTATGCCTGCCGCACAAGCATACACTACTTTGGACACGGTAAAAGTGGTCTATACCGACTTTTGTACCTATGGCGACGGACCTCGTTCGCCTTTACCCAGGTGTCGTACCGTACTGTCTCCGTTTCTCCTACAGCGGCGGCTTGTGGCAGTAGATATCTGTCCCGAGACCTACATCATGTCCTGTAGTGCCAAAATTTCGAGTGACAGCAATCCAATAGCACCGCGTGATAGGCGAATATTAATTTCGACAGCTGTCGACGATCACCACGATCCAACACGTTCAGATGAGGGGCGAACATTTGACGACCATTCCCGAAAGCCTTGACAAGCGCAGTCCTGGTGTTACCAATCTCATTAGAAGAGTGCACAATGATGTAGTTCGCGGTATGGCTCATGTGGACCACTCGTTCGCCCTACGTCGGCTGCGCAGCACCCATNACAGAGCATGAATTGACACATGTGCCCAGGACCTTTGACCCAGGTTCACCACACCTAGGTTTCGGCAGAGCATGAAGTTGACACTGGAACCCAAGACAATGCATTTGCCCAGGACCGTTGAACCCAGGTCCACCACACTGGAGCGCAGGACCATTGCGGAAATCCAGGATCGGGGCCCCCAGGGTCTGGCAAAGCGTAGAGCTACGAGTTGAGCCCAGGACCATCGCGGGCACCCAGGATCATGGACACTGGTCTTCAGTAACTTCACGCTATGCCGGAGTGCCGCAGTCCTGGGATCGACCGACAGCTTGTGGCGTCATGATCCTGGGTATTAGTTGGTGTTCTGAAATCAGTGACAGCTTGGCTACTTTTTGCCCAGGTACACGATTCTGGGTGTATGGCCCGTTACTTTGGCGGGGAGAGCCCCCGCCGGCACCCAGGACCTAAAAGCACTACATATTAGTGCTCACAAGGCTGAGTTTTAGACGGCCAAAGCCCAGGACCAGCATTAGCCAGCGACTAGAAAAGAGGCTGGACTACATATTGTACTGTGTACTGTACTGTACTGTACAGTACTGTAACACAAGGCGAGACAAGTACACAATGCCCGCTGTAGCATCACTTCACATCTGTGTAACGTGAATATATGTCCTGGTTTTGAGATGGTTCCTCCAGTAGGCTCCTGGATATTTTGCATTAATCTGTAAATACTTCCCCACTACATTGGCGGCGTTCAACAACCGTAGATGCCATGG